GGAAAAAGCGCTGGCACAAGTGCATTGTATCAGAGGGGGATTATTTTGAAGGGGATAACATAATTTTGGATGAATAAATGAATATTTTTTTATAAAAATGAAAAGTCACCTTACTTTTTGATCACACCTCGTATGTTATTTCATAGAAAATACTATAATTATTTAAATATACAACGCTATAATTATTTAAATATATAATGTTGTATAACATATATATGTGCCCTTCAACCAGCATGTATTGAACGACAGAATGAGCACACAGATAATCTAGATTAGATTGCATTTCTTTTTGCGGAATATTTATTCATGTGTTATTATGAGGGATAAACTATTATATACGTAACTATACTTACAACATTACATCTTTATACTAGGTGCAAATGCGTTTAATGGATGTTTTTTACTCACATGGTTTCTAACAACACGTGTCGACTTGAGTTGAAGCTGATAATTTTAATAAAATATTTTATATATTGAAGTTATACGCACTGTAACGTCCGGCGCGCTACATTATAGCACCCCAGCCGTTTACCAAGCGAACGCGAGCACGGAGCATAGCAAATAATACAATAAGTGCCAACTACAAGCCCGTAAAACTATAGGATAAGCTACCGAAACCGTCGCGTTCGAACGCCGCGCGCACAGCGCCTGCGCGACCGATGAAATAGAAAAACCAATAGAAAAATGCATGAGAGCATGTAGATAGCACCGCCAAAAGACGAGAAATAACGAACATCATAATTAACAATCAAATAATCACGAGGAAGTAGCGCCGATCCACCAAGAACAAGTAAAAACGCGCAATTACTCATAAAATGCATAACGATGCAACGCGAAACACGCGCATCGATCACAAAGGTCTCAGGAAGCAAACAAAAACTATTGCCATTTGAATAAGGGCACGAATAAGGAAATAAGACCCTTAAATAAACAAAGGAGACTCGCGAGCGCTTCGGAAGAAAGAACTGAAGATACGCGGAAAAGCGGCGTGAAAAAATGCGCAGAGGATGCACGCTGGCTACGCCGCAACCGAGTGCATCACGCGCCAACCAAGCGCACCCCTAAGAATATTGCGAACCCCGCTAAACACGAGAACGATCGAAAAGGCAAAAAGACACGCAGGAATCAAATAAATCGCGATAGAAACATTAGAATATTCGAGAGAATTTCGCAACTACACGTGTGCGAAAACACCCCCTTACCGCGAGGGGTCACAAAACAAAACATATATAAAGCGAGACAATTTACAGACAATTCGCCTTATTCCTTCCTGGCAACCAAAACGGTAAGGACTCCTAGCGCTTTTACTAGCGCTCCGGATCATCCGTTAAATCCTACAAAATCCAGCCCCGATCGTGCGCCAACCACGGCGTCTGACGGGCTAACTCCTCGCCTGATCTCAGCAGCGCAAACCAAGACGACGCCGAGATCATCTCCTTGCGGAAACTCCAAACGAGCGCCTTCTCGGCGTAGAGGCTTCCGC